AATTGGAGAACGCTGACAAATTGCTGATTATTGGGGAGGAATCGAGCAACCAACATGGCAAAATGCCTGAGGATGCCAAGCCTTCCCCTTCTTCATCTTCTGGAAAGTCATGTAGCTTTCAAGATGTGCCAGCATATGCTTTCCTGGATCAGGTCAACCTCACCCAGCTTCCAGATGTTGTCGGAGTCGGGATTGGATACCATTCCACGACCAATTGTTGGCAAGTGCGTTACCCGGCTGTTGGCCAGGCATCCGTGGCCCGGTCATTTGGAGTTTTGAAGACACGAGGGTATGTCTCACCTTGTCAAGCTTTGTTGGAGTGCTTGCTATTTGTGTGGAAAAAGCACTCTCAAAAGAATCCAGGGTGCCACACTGCACTGGAACGTGTAAAGACTTTGCAGGGAGCACTCAATGTGAAGTTGGGTTTCCACATCAAATGAAACCATTTGAAAGCGCATATTGGCCTCATTTTGCACGTCACATGCACGGAAATCCGGTGCCAAGCAATGAATGAGGTGGTATGCATATAAATGTGTGTATATATATATATATATCAGTGTCAATCCGACATGTTTCTGTTGTTGTGTTCGTTTTTTGGTGATGCTTTGTTGAAGACTCATTATACAAAAACAAGGTAGTTTCAGTTTGTTGGACTCCAGTGCCCCCTCATTTGCTTTGGCTTGGCTCCATCAATCAGTCTGAAGATATTTATATGGTACAGATCGCGAAGTATGCGAGCAATTGCATGAGCCAACCAGGGAAGAAGGGGAAAAAAAGAGTCTCTGACAGACACATTTGGTTGAGAAAGCACACCCCAGTAAGCAGTTCCAGGACAAGTTTCCGGACACCCCCAGTAAGCAGCTAAATTTGACAAAAGCGCTTACCATAAATCTATCTGCTATGTTTTTGTCACCGGACCTTTCCTGCCTACTGTCCGTCCGTGACTATACCGGAAGATTTATACAGTAGACAACGATAAGGTCATCGAGAAGTTCAGGGATGAGGTCCTTGGGAAGTCACTTGTCATTTCATCTTTGGAATGCACGCTGTAGGTCCAGGATACTGCCACATGTAGGTCCAGAATGCTCATGGTACAAGTACCTGACTGATGGGTCGATCTGAAACCCACTGGTTCAGTGTGTTTTTCTTTCCCGGACTTTGTTTCCATATGTTCCTTCCTGAATTTGATAAGCACGGCAAGAACATGAAAGAACAAAGACCAACCAGTGCTGAAATTGGGTCCGCTACTTGCGGTTCGGCGTGCCGCTGCTGGACGAAGGGCATTGATGCCTAATTATTTGATCTATCTCATCTTTGCTAGAATTAATTAGACTCACGTGCAACGTAAAGTTTCTCCCCAAGACTTGTGCTGTCAGGTCAAGTGCGACACCTGATGAGGTGATAAGCATCCAAATTCCCAGTAAAGAGCTGCCACTAAAGCTGCCAGTCCCCAGGGGTCCCGGGTTGTTTGGCAGGGGTCCCATTGGTAGCCCTTGGGACCGTCTCTGGTCGTTGGGCGCCGCGCTTCTCAATGGGCGGCCGCGGCTTGTACGAATATTGCGGCGTGGCCTCGGAGGCAGCACCAGGACGCCGTGTTCTCTCGTATCAGCACGAGCCGGCACGAGCCCGTGACGAGAGTCGTGAGCACGAGGTTGGAATTCATCGTGACTTTCACTACCTGGAATCCCGGTCCCATGAAAGCTAGCTGCCCTGCTAGACCAGCTCTTTGTGAGGAAAAGATCTCGTCAAATATAACGTTCACATCACAATTGACAAAACATCGAGTCAATTGTGAACCCGCTTCTCTCTCCGCAAAGAAAACATACAATTATGTTTAAAACATTTATTATGTATATATAGATTATAAACTATTGACTACTGTCAATAAAATTACTCACTTGCATCAAAAACACACTGAAACTTTCTCCACTAAGCTTGCTTCTGAAAGCAATAATGAACCAAACTTTCTCCTGTACAACATCAAATGTCCTTCTCAATGGAAACCATAAACCTTCTAGCTGTCTAAGTAATATATGGTCCGAGAATACTATTGCGGTGAACAAATTTCGGTCTGCCACTTTTCCACTAGGGGGAGGCGGTTGTTATTGCAATGTGAACATTAAACTACATTAAACGATAGCACAAACGCGGGGCATACATGACCCCGTGAATTTGGCACGAGCCATGAAATGAGCCTCCCATGTTCATCCCAGAACCCCCGAAAAAATGATCCATTTTTGGAGGCCATCGCTAGTAGGTTTGGAGGCCATCGCTTCTAGCTTGGAGGCCATCGCTAGTAGGTTGGAGGCCATTCCTAATAGGTTGGATCTGCAAGAAGTATCCTTCCATCCTCATCCTTCCACGGCGCCAGCGACCGAGGCACCAGAATCCGTCGGGGCGTCACCATGCTGTCGATGGGATGCTCCTCTGGCGGAGGAGGGTGTGCCGCTCGCAGGAGGTGGATCTGAAGGACCAACTTCTCAGAGCAAGTCTTCTCTCTGCACGGAGCGGGCAATTGGGAATGGATGAGAGGCCAGCAAGTGCAGTCGAAGAACATGCAGAGGCATCATTTGATCATCAGATTCTCATCACCCATGACAATTGCCTTTGATCTACCATGACTTGCAATCCCAAAGAGGAACAAAAAAAAAAGAACTGCCGGCACTGGCACTGGCACAGCTCCTTTTGCTCATCCAGCTGAGCCCTTGGGGTCCCTTTCTCGTCTAACCTAGGGAGTGCCACCTGGCCGGATGCCACGCCCCGTCCGAACGACGCTCCAAACGACGCCGGCCGTGGAGGTTCTGGTTTTGATCGTTGTTGGGAGGGAGGAGGTGAGTGGTGGCATGTCTGGTCCACCAGTCGCATGTGGGGATTAGTAATTGGTGGCTATCCATCGGCCAAGTAAGCTGCCAAGGCTGCCCCTCCGCTGGGGTCACTGCATCACACCACTAGGCTAACTTCAAATCTGCATCTAGGGACTTCATCTAATTCAGCTATCAGCAGTGTTTTGGCAGCTCATGGTCATCCAAACAACGTGACACGTGTATCATCCAAACTCAACCACCCCACGCCAAACAACGCGAGTGCCCTAATCATGCCAGGCAAGCTGAAGGGTCCTGGCGGGTGACCGGTTCCTCCGGTCGAATCGGATCACTCCCCCACCAAGCAAAGTACTGCCATAGGCCCATAGGCCACCATAGGCCCATAGGTAAAAGGCTTTGGTTGAGCGGTTGGAGAAAACAACTTCCTGAAGTAACCTCCAAAAGTGAAGACCTAAGGGCCTTATATAAGGGGCTTTCCAACAATAAAATATCATTAAAACACTTTGGGCATCTTTTGGCCGTCAATTGTTGCACCCACTTTTCCAGAAGTCTTCCTCACGGTCGCAGCGACTTTTTCGGTCGTTGACGCATGACACGCCTTCCGCTTCTCTTGCGGCTGAGCCTTCAGAAAGCCCCAGCTCTCCTGCACCGGGTGGGCCAGGGTGAAGGAGGTGCCCTCTTAGGACGCAAAGGATCATGGATGATCAATATATGGCCGTGGGATGCTTTGGAGCCCAAAACCCGGAGAAACATTCATTGACAATTGCACACGAACGCCACCTCCAAATGATTTCCACAATGTTGAGTGCATGATGCAGATAATCAAACATGATCATGATCTGCCAGCACCTTCAAAGGGGTCACCTGGCTGGAAGCCCAGCCCACTACTAAGGGACCTCCAGACAGGACACGCCTTGAAGGTCCAGGTAGGTTTGCCACTGGGCTTGCCCCTCATGACCAGACATGGAAAGGATTCACTCCAACTGTTCAAACCTCGAGCAGCGCTCCAGTCTGCGGGGCACGGCTGCGCTATGCTGCGCTCCTCCCATTGGGCAGCCAAGCGCAGCTCGGCATCCACGGCCTGTCGCCAAACCTGGGGGATCAGTGAATCGGTGGGATCGGATGAGGATGAGGATGTTCTATCAGATTCACTGATCCTTTCCTGGGCTTCCTCGATCTGTGATTCCTCTGTGGGTTAAGTGATCTGATTCCTCCGTGTGATTCCTCTGTGGGATAAGTGATCTTGTGGCTGTTCCATCAAAATGGTGGACACTTGCTTGAGGAATTTGAGGAATTTTGGGGAACTTGGAGGACTTTCCATCAAACATCCTTCCACATATATGATTGCTCCCACGGACACGACGCTAAGAAAAACAAAACAAGGTGGTGGATGTTGGAGCACATGGGACACTCTTCAGACTTCAGCTCTCTTCCATTGGACTCTTGCACCAACCCGTCCTACTCTGGTAGAACCACCTGAGCTGGAAGAGTGGCCAACCCTCTGAGTGGGCCTAAGTAGCACTCTTTCTTTCACTTGGTTTCCACACGATCATCTCGGCATTGCCCTCCAACGGCATGGCCTCAGTGTGAGTCAGGTCCAATCGAGGCATCCGCTCTAAAGAACAGGGACAAGTACTTGCTGTGCTTCGGTGGCACAAATAATCAACAATTGCTCTAGGGGACGGGGTCGAAACACAATGATCAGCCAACAACGCATCAGCCCATGAGCTCGGCAGGCTTGATGTTGCAGAAAGAATCTGACCCTGGCAATTCAAAAGCTTCTTGGTTTCTGATATGCTATCTCCAATTGGTGCGATGTACAGTAAATCGATGTAAATCGCCATCTCTGAGGAAAACTGAATAAATGAAGAAGCATTGGGACAAACATCAATGAAGAAGCATTGGGACAAACATCATGCCGTAGTCAGAGCCATGTGCCCAAGGTCGCGGCTAATTTGGACAGGCTCTGCAGGCCGACAACGACTGGAAGGCTGTCTGGAGCCACAAACTCGTGTGAAGCATCACGTTTCGGCTAACTGGATCATCGAATTGGTGATGCCATAATACAGGCGTTACTCTTCCATGCAACGCTCCCTCCATGAGGGCAACCCTTATATCGAACAAAATAACAGTGAACCTGAAGGGCTGACATGCAGGATGAGTGCGTTGCGCCCTGCTCTGCCTTTCCTGCTTGTCAAGCAAATCCACCTACTTCCAAGGACTTTGCTTGGAAAACATCCGGGTCAAAGATCCTGTAGGCCGACCTTCGGCCAGAAGGACCCCCTCCGCCTATTCTGGTGGCCGTTTCGGGTCGTTTTCGGAGCTGGAGCTTGTGGGATCTGGATCCAGCCTCAGCTTGTGGGATCAACAAGGGGTCCTAAGCCCCCTGGAGCCCAGGCTGGGCTAGAAGAAGCTCGTCAAAGCCTTTGTCCGGCTTGGCGCTAGCCTCACATCCCCCAGAAGCACAGCTGCCACAGCTGCCCCTCCCATGTCGTGGTGCTGCTGCCGGCTGAAGGACAGGTTGTAGTTTTGCTCTTCGGGAATGAGCCACTCGGGATTTCCCCACCTGGCTCAGCAGAACCAAGCGCGCGACAAGCAACCCGCAAGCCCAGTCTACCCTGCAATCCAAGCATCCAACGAAATTTCAATCACAACCCCTCCAACCCCCTTGTGCAAATCCTGCGCCAATGCTGTATAGTCTTGCACAACTTCACCGGAATATACCGGTATATATTACATAATACCGCGCTGTCATACCTGCGCGGTCAACTTGTTGGCTGGATGCTGCTGCATGCTAGAAACTCCGTCAAACTGCTACACCATGTCATGCATCGATTGGGTGTATCATATATCCCATTCCCTGAAACAGTGGATGATGATGGTTGGGTTGCGGGCCTTTCTCAAAAGAGTGATAACATGTGATAACTGTTTACTGACTGTTGCAGGTAAGAACGGACAGACCCCAAATATACAAATGTGATAATCCTTTTATTGACTGTTGCAGGTCATGGGGAACACACGTTATTCATGTGAAGCGCTGGACGACCTCGCGGTCCAATCATCGTCGCAGAACCCGACCGGGCTCAGGAAACAGTATGAAAAACATGAAACAAAGCAACACCAGAAGGATCCAGTTCACACCCAAAACCCCCACCCCAAACAAGGAATCACTCAGCTGCAAACCCAACAAGAGATACAAGATGAATGCCCTTGAACAAATCATTATCTACCAGCACCTTCAAAGGGGTCACCTGGCTGGAAGCCGACACTACTCAGCCAGGACACCCCTTTTTGTCCAGGTAGGAACCTCTTTTTGGTGTTTCCAGTTTTGCACGTCAGGGATGTGTAAATCAAAAGCCGCCACATGCTTCACCAGGCCACACCATGTTGTAGTCTCCAGGGAATTCGATCTTGCCACCAGCCGGCTTTCCCGGGTAGGGTCGCAGCTCTAGGAAGCGGTTGATGTCGCTGAGGCGAATGCGCTTCTGTGTGGAAAGCCAGCTGTCGTTGGCGTAGATCGCATCCGTTTCTGGGCGGCACTGGAGGATAAGGGTGGGAGGATCGTGGAGGGATCAGCTATGGTGGCTTCAGAGGTTCGATGGCACAAACCCAAAGACGGTCTTTTATTCAGGGATCCATATAGACCATTCTTTGGGGATTGCGCCATCGGTTTTTTGACCTTTGGCTTGGAGGGGTTTCATTGCTTCTTCTTGCAGGTGCGCAGGTCTTGTGATTCAATCTGATGAGCCAGAATTCTATGGAGACACGTTTCGTTTTACACCTCCAAGCTGCATTCAACTCGAGCGGCTTCCCCCTTAAAACCTGGGTCTGATCGATAAACCTGGGATCGAACCGAACAATGCTTCAAACCAAACTAATCTGTAAATGCTAGGGGCGACCATGAACAACCAAATTACGTTCACTTGTCGTCCCTGTTCTCTTTTTGAGACACCCACCCCCCCCGTGGGGGAACACCTCCCACCTCCTCCGAAGCACCGGTGCGGGTCTGACACCGGCGCCTGTGAGTTGGTGAGGTAGATGTGGGAAGTGCTTCTGAACTTGGGATGCTTCTCACACCTCAACACCTCGTGCCCCCAAACTGGATCGATTGAAAACATGAAAACCTTCGTTACCAGGGGCCCACAAACCATCAAAAACCTTGTTTTCCTAGCAAAAACATTGTTTTTGTAATATATGAGAACCTTTGTTTTTCATTGTTTGAGGGCCCCTGGTACTTACGTCCCTTCAGTTCGAGGCTCTCGCTTGGAATCCCCAGGTGCGCGAGGGCGTGGCCGGGAACCTGGGTCGCAGGTGCCAAGTGTGCTTTGCTTTCGGATCAGATTGCGAGGCTTCTTAAAGGCCAAACGGAGCCTCTCTCTAGAAGTGGATGGCATGGCTCTCCGGGAATCATGGTTCTCCAGTAGTTGCCTTAAGATCCTTAAGGAACATGACGCTTCTATCTAGATTCATCTTTGTTATCACGGCAACTTCAGTGATGCCAAAACACCAAAGAAACACCATAAACGGCCCGGTGAGGGTGAGCCACATATGCAAAGAGATAGAGTACACATCAAAAGACTCAGCAAATCAAAGCAATCATCTAAGAAGGTGCCCAGTGCTGCAAGTGCTACGTTATGATCACCTTTCCTGCCGCCTGCCTAGGCATTTTTTGGCCGTGTCCCGCACACCCAACGAGAAAACAAAGACACGTACAGAAACACAACGCATCCCTACAGCAAGACAAAGCTCCAAACTCATCTCCGAAGTCACTTGGCGAAGGCTCGATCAAAGCTGTCGTGGTCTTCCTTGCTGCTGCTCTGCAGCAAGTTTGACAGGCTAGGCCCTCCAAGGGCACTAATCTTGCCACCCATTGGTGAGATCCGCTGCGCCGATCGAACGGCACCGTGGTGTGGTCAATATGCAAAACAGAAAGGCACGTGTCGGTCACAAATGGTTCTTGAGGAGACTTGGGTGGGGGGATGCCAAACTGCTTTGAAATCTGACAATGGCTGATTTGACGATCATTGAAGTGTCTTTTGGAAGACTCTCGAGATGTTTATATTTATATAATCATGAGAAGTACCCTGCCCACAGTGACTCCCAATGCCAAATTTATAGATCGTGTATCATTAAAAACGTTTTAAGGGCAGGTTCAGCTGCAATTGTCATCGATTTCTTTGAGGGGAGTGGCTGTATTCAACGAAAAGGGTCTGTCGCTTCCTCATATCCCTCAATATCATTGACAACATGTGCTGTGCTGCTGAGCCATTTTTGAATACATGTGTTGAACATGCTGCCTGGTTAACCGGCATGCTTGCCCTCCCTATTGCCTCGTGCCATTAGTAGTTCTGTCATGTCTTCAGCTGGCTGCCTGGTGCCACTTGCTCAGTGGAACAAGCATAGTCGAGACTTCAGTGTGACTTCACTCCAGCAATTTGACATTTGTTCAGGAATGAACGTTGGCAACGATCCAAATTAGCTGCAAAGAACATCTAAGCAAAGTCCAAATATCTCATGGCCCCTAAGTCAGGAGTAGTCACGCTTCACGGAAACGACTCCGCAAGTGATTCATCGCACCATGCAAATGGCCGAAACACCCACAAAAAGATCACACAAATAACAGAACCCCCATGCTGCACTCGATGCATGGCCGCCAGGCGCCTTGCTGCACTGCAGCCTTTTTTTTTGTGTTGAAGCCCTGACAGCTTCATGTTGGTCTGTACAAGAGGCCTGGTGGCCTTGTTGAACCTAGAAATTACAGTGCACTTTGGATTACGCTCCCTTTGAACCAACCAGGAATCTTCTTCAATTGGCCCGGGGACCCAGGCTATGTTGCAGCGTCGGTGTTCACTGCTATTTTCCCAAATGCTCTGATTTAGAAAGAGAAGTCCCTGATTTCATGGTCAATATGACTACATCGGCAGTTGACATGTGTAATATTATGCTTCTCGAACTGGTTCTCAATCCCTCAACTTCTTCCTTCGTCTCGGATCGTGCTTCGTCTACTCTTACACCCTGGCTTGGTGAGTTGAAAAGGCATCTCCGGGAGCAGATCGTGTCTAACTAGTGAGGGCCATAAATGCCATCCCACTCTGGCCAGTGGTGCCAATTTCGATCGAACCAGCCGCAGCGAGGACAATGGTTCACCCTCCTGGAACGCGGGATGCCGGCGCCGGTGGGGGTGTGATGTGTGTACTTTTTTGGGTAGGTAGGTAGGTAGGTAGGTGGGTAGGTGTAGGATTCTTTGGACATAAGGTTCACCCCGGCAAATGAGTGACCATAGACTTGTACGTTGAGTCACTCAAGTCTTCTAGTGTTTTAAAGGTGCACGACGTCCGACCTCGTGGATCGGAGTCACACGGCTAGCCCGGCTGGTCCTATACCGTATAGTCCGTATAGCCGTATGAACTGGAAAAGTGTATAGCACCTGGATCCGGCGAGACTGGAAAACGTGTATTTATGGCCTTTCCTGTGTTGAGATCATCTTTGGATGACCCAAGTTCTCCAAGGTGAAGGAAGTCGGAAGACGTCAAAAAACAATGCAATGGTTTATCGGCAACCCGCTGGATCCAAGATTCCTGTCAAAGAGCTGATGCATAAAGCAGAACAGAACTAGTCATGTACTACTGCGTGGAGGTTATGCCCAAACATTGGGAATCATGCGGCACTTCGGCATGCTCAAGTACTACCTGGTTACTACATGTTACTACCAATCGTTGTTCATTTTCGAGGCATACACTCCCTGAAATCATGGGAACTGGACCAAGTGGCCCCTGGTTCAAACCATTGTTCCTCTACAAACCAGCTGGTGCCATGCTGGCAGCTCCACACCCCTCCGAGCCGAAGATGAGGGAAGTGAGGCTCCTGCGGTGTCCATCTCGGTTGTGGGTCGCCAAATTGCTGCATGCATCGTTCATGATGGGGCCCGCCCTGCACCTGCTGCAGCGTGCAGCGTGCGCGGGAGGTGTACCCTATAGCCCGGGTCAGCCGGGTCAGCCGGGTCGGTAAGCGCCCGACCCATCCGCTGACACCGGTCGGCAAATCCTTGCAATCGAAGAAAACTCCGAAACCAGAGCGACTCCAAAGAAGAATTAGAGCAGCAACAAAATGAACATGACTAGTGACACTTGGTAATGATTGATGACAATGACAATGTTACCAATCGGAACCAAATACCTGATAACATCCGCCCCTGACCTGCCTGACCTGCTCTTCTTCACCCATACATGCTCCGGGTGTAATACCTTGACCTTCCCATTCACCGCCCTATCCAGGACCTCGCCTGCGGCACATCCGCGCGCAGCCTTGGCGCCCCACCATCTGACTCACCGCCGTGCGCGCCAGCTCATCCAACTCCTGCGCGCGCCGGCGCCTGAACGAGCGGAGAGAAGGAGCGGGATGGGGAGAGCAGAGGCGGGAGTGAGGGAAGGAATAGCTTTTGGGGATGAGCAGCCGGGAAAGTGAGGACGCTCATCCAATGATCCAACTTCATGCGGTTCAAGACCGTGAAAGTCTCCGAGCTTCAATAATGTTGACTCTTGAATCAACCCCCCCTCAACAACCAAGGCCTCTAAAATAATATACTAGAAAACTAATACTAATCAATTGAATAAAAACAATTATAATCATTACTTAGCTATCTCTGGCAATAAAGAAACCGAACTTTGAAGACATCTGGAATATTAAAACAAAGTGTGTACATACTTTTGGAAGTTTTTGGAAAGCTTAAAGATTCAAGAGCTTAGGAAAAATAAAGGAATAGAAGGGAAGACAGCAAATCAGTTGGAACAGAAAAGGAATAAATATAAGTTCTCCAAAAACTGCACACCAAAAAGGAAAAACAAACACACAAAATATTCCACTACAAGTGCCCCTCTAAAAACATACGTTATTCTGGTGGCCTTTATAGATCTGTGCAGGAAAATAGAAGACATTATTCTAGGGGCGTTTATTAATCAAAGGTCAACATTAGGGGCAAAGTGACTGTCAGTTGAGCAGTCGAAAGTGACAAACAATGACAGGCTGTCCCATGGTGATTCAATGTTATTTCACACTTCACTATAGTTGGTTTGGAGTGAGTAGAACAAATCCATACAAATCTTAAGTTGCTTGGTGCAACTGGGTCCATGGGTGCACAGCATATCCGATGCACACCCTCTGTATCCCTCTATGCATGCCCAGGGGCCCAGCAGTGTGGCGCTTCTCACAGCTCTGACAAACACGTCCCCATCTTCATGTCCCATATACCTCTACCCTCCTCTACCCAGATCCGGCACCCTCCTCCTGACGATCACCCCTTTCCGCATCCCGAGTTCGCGGAGCGTCCGCGCCCAGCACGCGCAGCGTATACGCAGCGAAGCGCGCGGCGCCTCTCTTCCGCTAAGCGCTCTTGCTGTTGACGCTCCACTTCCGCCTGTCGCACCAGCCATTCCATCTCTTTGCGCCGCTCGCGCTCCAACTCCCGCGCCTGTGGACGTCGTCACGTGACTTGGGTGACGACTCGGGGGGGGCGGAGCGGGCGATGAACGCCACGTGCGCGGAGTGGTGCTCATCAAGGATGAAGCAAAAAAGCTTCGGGATCACACAGTGGTTTCATATGCCTCCATGGTATCAGTTCTGAAATGTTACTAGATAGTTTATAGCATTATACATTGCCTCCATAGATGTTGCCTCCATAGTTCGGGACCATGGTTCTAAGCACAAATTTTATGGTCGTGTAGCTTGCACAGTTTTCACTTGGTCAAGTATATCATCAACACAACTGATTCAACACATGGGAGATGGGCTCATCCTGGTGGAAGGTAATTGATCACGTAAACATCAACAGATTGATTCTTCATCCAACTTCCTCTTGGTCTGCACAGTCTGGCAGCGTGATGCAGCCTGGTCTCACACCGTTTTGTGGTATCGTTTTCAGGATCACTTCCACGGTCAGAGACTCTGTCGTGTCATTCCCCGTTTTCGTGCTGAAACGTGGGTGTCCCTATGCTCCCATGACGTTCCAAAGCCACACATGGATATGTTCACCTATACCCGTCTAAGACGTCCAAAACATCACACACGTGCTGTAGGATGCTGTAGGATGCTGTAGGCTCATGTCCTGCCTGCTCCAAATCTCTCATTCTCCCTTCAAACTCCTCTCTGACCAATAAGGCCTCACGCCGCCGCTCGCCTTAAAACAAACACAAAGCGGCCAGGAGTCCGGGGGCCTGGAGTCAGTTTCAGGACCTGTGATCCTGCAACATCTGGCAACTCCATCTCGGATGTCTTGGCTCAGGATCGATCCACTTCAATCCACTTCACTCACTTCACCCGTCCCCATTCATACCCTGTGATCCTTCTGTTAGCTCAGCTGGCCCAGCTGTCACTGGTTGTGGAACCAGTCAGAAGCCAAAACTCAACGCTGAACACGTGGGACTGGAAATGCCTTGGGCCCAAAATGTGTCACATCAATCTTCCGATCTACTTCAAGAATGTTGGTGCTCGTTGTTGACTCCCCATTCCCCAGATCCTATGGAAGATCGATCCAAGGCTCGAATCAAGATCTGCTCCCTCTTCCGCATCCGCGCCGTGGGCCAGGGCGTCGGGCTTTCCAGCTGCATGGCCAGCGGCCACGGCGCGCGCGGCGCCGCGGTCGCCACCGCGAAGCTGCCCTCATCGAAGAGCTCGCGCCTGGCGTAGCCGCAGCCGTGAAGCTCAGCTTACATGCCTAATCAATATAAGATGTCTATAAGATGGCCCTATAGACTCTATAGACCCTCCTGAAGGCAATTCCGGGTGGTTCTTCAGGTGTCCCACCCAACACTTGCCAGCTCTTTTGGTGTCCCACTCATACACAGGGCGGCTTATGACTTATGGCGGCTGTGAGTTTTGATATGACTGTCTTAATGTGGATCTTAGTGTCGGTGTAGTTACCCATTAGAATCGTATCTGAGGGAGGTTACTTGTTGATCTTAGTGATTCAAGGGCCTTCTTTAGGTGGCCATCAGTTGCCCATTTGCGCATCAGAGTTTGGAAGTAGGCCCTTCACTCGCCACCTCATGACCCTGTCAAACCAAACGGCCACATGGCCAGCAGCAGCTCCGTGAGAAACGATCAACGGGTCTTGGACTAGGTAGGTGTTTTCCAGCCACAGCCGGCTTGCAGTCCCTTCAGTCAGGTGGATGCTGCACAACACTCTTCCAAGAAACTTCCACACATCTTCATCATCTTCCACCCTTGCTCTCCAACTCCTCCCACCCCCTCCAGTCGAACCCCGCGACCACGTCCGCTCTCCGACGCTATCGGCGCCTGCCCGAGTCGAGCGCGGCGGCGGACTCCGCCACCTGCACGCGCTGGTGGAGCTGGGCGATGTCTTCGAAGTGGCGCACCGCCTCCTCGGTGCCCAGGTCTTGGACCTGCTGAAGAGGCGGCTGCACCACGGGCGTCCGCGTCTTGGGGGCGCGTCCGCGGGCGGAAAGCACCGAAGCTTTTGCTGGTCGGTGGTGGTAGGAGTTTGGGGTAATGAAGTCCTCTCATAGGGCCTAGGCTAACCCTAGAACCCCTCCTATCATAGCGCCTAGGCTAGCCCTGGGACGCCCCCTCTGATAGGGTCCTAGGACCCCCCCCCGATCATAGGGCCTCGGAGACCCTAGCCTAGCCCTCTATACTCTCCGCCTAGGGATGCCTAGGGGGTAGTATAGGTGAAGGTAACCCCTATCATGGGACTTCTGTATGGAGTTTGGAGGGTTTAAGGGGATGGTTTGGTTTTGGGGGTTGGGCTGCCTGGGCAAAAGCTTGTGGTTAATGCTTGATGGCCAGAAGCTTGGGGTTGGGTGTTGGAATTCCACTCCCGAATCAGAATCATCTGGCTGCCTGGGCTTGGGGTTGGCCAGAAGCTTGTCAGGTCGATTCCAGAAGCTCCTGGTTTCTCGCACCGTGGGAAAACATTTGAAAAACCATCTCAAATCAGCATAATAACAAATACCACATGAAGTCCACTGACCGCCCCATGCGGGTGCTTCTTTGCCCCGTCTCGCCCCCTCCAAGCGCCTCCCTTTGCATCAGCTCCTCCAAGTGCCGCCGGATCTGCTCCGCCCCCTCAGGTGCCACGGGCGTCGGCGGCGGCGGCGGTGGCCCCCGCGGGCGGCGCGTGGAGGCGGCCGCCACGAGGTCCACCTGGCAGGGGAAGACACTTCGTTCGAGGAAGTGACACTCTGACGAACGCATCACATGGTGACGTGGATGGCAGCCAGTCGCAAGGAAGACGACTTTCCTTGACGAACAGGGGGTGCCATCCACTTCCATGTTAGTGAGTCGGAGTGTAGCAGAATTGTAGTACACTTCGGTGTGTCACTCAGTATGATGAAAGTGGATGGCATGGCAAACACATGACGGTGCGTCACACTTAGAGAAGTAAGTGCACTTAGAGGCTATCTTAAGCTCTTTTGACTATCTTTGACTCACATGAAAGTGGATGGCATCGCCCTTGGAAGAATGGAAGTGGAAAAGGGATGAAATGGTCCCTTGGAAGACTGCTTCTTCACATAAAAAGGTTTTCAATTCCATGGTAGTGAGTGGGAGCGTGTAGGACCAACCACAGGTGAGGCCAGGGGAGTCTCGGTCAAGTGCTAAAACAAATGAAAGGACTGGGGAAAATTGAATGGGAGTTGAATGGTTGGAACAAACAAACAGGATTGAACATCGTCAAGCACTTGATTGCTTGATGAATGGGGAAAGTCCATGGGAGTCCGACGTATCGGCCACTCTGTGGCGAAGGTACACCGGTAAACCGAAAGCGTTGCGACGAGCTGGATGCAGTGTAATTATCCCAAAAACAAGATCTGCAACAGTTAACAAAACCATCTTCAACACCGCAAAGCACCTCCATGCCCGACTAGGCAAAGCTCTCTGAATTCCTTGCAATGTCTGCGCCAATGTCCCGTTGACGTGCGCACCTGGATCTGCTCCAAGTCGGCCTCTGCTCGGCTCAGCTCTTGGACATGACGCAGCACGGCGTCCTCATCCAGGCGCGCGACGTTCACACGTTGCAACCTGGCGGATGCGGTGTGGTGTGGTTGGTGTGGTGAGGTGCGGGATTGGTTGGATGGATCTCGTGTCTGCTTGCGTGATATCTTGGTGTTCATGGGACTGCAAACTTCGGGGGGTGGATATTTTGTAATGGACCAACCCAAGAAAATCCAACAAGCTATGGTTCTCTGGGAGTAGGCACAGAAGATGCGGGTAATTCCAAAGCGACAAACACACATGCTTGAGCATTCAATCCTCTTCTCCAATTGAGCTGCACTGATCGTTTTAGGATGTTTTAGGATACATTCACCACCTCCATATCCTCCAAGGTGCTTGGACTCAATCCACTATAATGATTGACTACGGCTACGTTGTCCGGACCACTGGCAGCCTTGTCTGGTCTATTAAGTCTACTGACCTCTTTCAGGTCATTACAGATATTACAGGGGCAAGGACTGTGTGCTCTGCTTCATAAGCCCGGCTCTGTCAACGTTGCCACCACAACCCCCTGCTGAAAGCACGTGGCATGCTGCATATGCATAAGCATGCATAAGCCCTTTTTGGAAGCCAAAAGCCCATGAGATCAACACTTTGGAAAGAGACAGACTCAGCCACTGACTAGTCTAGCGAGTCGATACGCCCTCCAGGCTCCAGGAGTCCACTGACGGATCAGTTGATGGATGGCACCCAAGAGCTCAGAGTGGGCACCCCTCCCATAGGTTTAGACCATCTGGATCATTGGGAACGCGTTTTTCTTCAAGCTGTCCAGGTTCCAGCTGCTTGAAAAAAGAAGATCGACAGTGGGACAGTATGTCCTTCATTCATTACCTGTTATAATACAACATGTAATATATATATATATATATCTTTATACACAGTATAACTAGCTTCTCAAACTCACCCGCGCACACCAGCACGCCAACTCACCTGGGCCCCTCGCGAATCCCACCTTTGAATCTGAGCAGTCAGCTCTCTGGAGCGTTCAACTTGAGCGGCCTGTGCCGATTCATCACTGGCCTCGCAGCTCCCAAGATTCCATGCATGTGAAAATGCGGACTCACAACGCGAAAGTCGTCGGATGAACCTATATATAATATAGTAGGTGCCATCTTGCATCATCTTACTGTAAGCTCACTGCAAAGCATCGTGAAAGGCACGGACAATGAATAAATTGGCAAAGGTGGGAACTGTAACTGTTTGAGCATGTTTGAACCATGGATCACCATTGGAGGCCATGAATTCCATGGACTTTTCCCAGAACCACCAGGTCTGTTGCCTCCGTCACATGCTTCACACTCACCTCGGAGTCCATGAGCTGCTCCTGCTGCTGTTGCTGCTGCAAGGCCAGCTGCTCCTCGAAGCGACGGGTGAGCTCGGTGCGCACCGCGGCGCGGTGCTGGTCGCATTGGATCTGGGTCCATTTCTCCAGGCGCGCGTCGAGCACCTGGCGGACATCATATGAAACTGACCACTAGTATCCACTAGTGGACTGTATCCACAACTCTCCTAGGAGGAGGAGACATGCAGAAAGGCGAATGATCCAAACATGTGCTAGAGCATCATCCACTGTTGGCCCGTGAGCAGTAACTTGGCTTCATTCACTGTCACAGAGAACAGGACCTAGCCGCCAAATTCAGTAAATCGATATATAAACCACAAAGCAACTACAAGTTTAGAAGGGAGTGTGGTGTGCGATGTTCTTATTCCGTGCGTGTTCGTTTGGATCACTGCCGTCACAAGACAGGGGCATGGTCCATCGCCTCGTGAACTGCTCTCAGTGGGCGATCTGTTCCGCCATGACCATGTGTCTCGAAAAACATGGACAGGTCTTGATACCTTGTTCCAACGGGTTCTCCATGTTTGAAGTGTTTGGTAAATGATGATGGAAGCATGCTTCCATTTATATAGCCCCTGTCCCCCTTTTGTGTCCCAAAAACACGCACTAAGAGCCGGCGTTGTCCCACCCACCGGATCGCTCTCCGGATCGCTCGGCTTCGCACCATGACTTGTTGCAGTTCTCCAGCGCCCAGCGCGCGGCGCTCGAGGCGATCCAACATGTCCTCAGTTGGTGGCAAACATAAATAAATTGTGTCGGTAGCAACCGGAATCGTACTGTCCACACGCTCTTTTCACTGCGAAAGCAAGCACGGTATAGCTCAAGGGCCCTAGGAGCCAAACGGCGGCAGACACAACATAGTGTGACAACCTGGCTCAACAGAATGAGATCCTACCACAAATTCACACTCAACCTGTTCTACAGGTGTCACACGGCTATACATTGAAACTCTTGTGTCTTCCTAAGGCATTGGAGAAATCTACTTCTGCTTCTGTACAGTGTAAAGGCACTCTCTTAGCACTCGAAGTAGCAGATCTGGCTTCATGGACTTCGTCAAACAGTCCGACACCATCGTACTGGTGGCAATCCAGATCAACTTGTCTCCTCCATTCTCGAAAACAGTCCATGTTGGTCTTCCTTCTTGCCACAAATTCTCATGGATTCCTTGCAACTCGATACCAAGGCGCTTGTCACTCACCTTGGCCAGGACTTCCTGATTGAGGTGGTCAGAAAGCGAACGGCTATCAGTCATTGCCAAATGCGGAATGCATTCACGGGCATCATCTTCCCATGTCTTCAAACTGCGAATCTTGCCCTTGATTTCCGCAATCACACCTCTCAGCTTATCACCTGTCTCGAGTCCGTTCTGGAGGGAATACGTCTCGGCTTGGAGAGTGCTGCGGCAGACTCTCTTAATTGTCGTGGATCCAAAAGACAATGGCATCACCTTATAGGTGGTCGTCTTGTCATCCTTGATCTCCTTGAGATCACCCAGAAAATGGATCCTGCCCTGCTGCGACTTGTAGTTCTTCTCGTTGGAGAAGGAGGCGTCTGTGACCGTGATCACACCAACTTCACTCCACTGGAGATGAGCCGCAGGAAAACACAATGCCACATCGTGACCCTTGTGTGCCAGGACAACGACTGCGTTAGCGTCTGCCAACCCTGGGAACGTGGACACTGTTGCATCCTTAATGCTAGACTGCAAACGGCTTACCCTGTAACCAAGGTCAGGCCTGGTCTGTCTCGAGATCCAGGCGAGCGATCCGGTGATCGATCTGAGCTTCGTGATGTCTCCTTGCTGGAGTCGCTCACTGCCTAGCCTAGAACCAACATCTGCTCCATGAATCTTCCTAGTGTTATCTGCTGTGTCGACTTTGATGACCTTGTCATCTCCTCGCACAAACTGCTTCCCACAGTATCGAAAGCTGTTAGTGTCTGAACTGCCGACACTGAACTTGGCAAGAAAAGACTTCATCACTTCCTCGCCTTCCGGAAGAAAACTATAGAGCAAGTCGTCCACGTGAGTGCACATGAGGGCACAAGCATCTCCTCCCTGCTCACCTGGGAGGTAGTACAATCCTGGGAAAAACTGGCTTGCCTTCAGGCCGCTCTTACGTGCATCGGCATCCAAACGCAACCAAAAGCCTCTTCCTGAGTCCGTGATTCCGTATACAGGGACTCTCACAAGAAAAAGGACATCGGGTTCTACACCTGGCAAACCTCCTCTTGGCTGACGCATGAGAAGAACACGGTCCAGTGGTCGTCCTTGGAAATATGCCGAGGTAATATCAGCGGAATGAATGTCGGCCTGGTGGCATGCTGCCCAACTGCAGACGAGGCAATGCATCTCTACATCAGCCGTTGGGCTATCTGACCTCAAACCCTCCGTCACTTCGAAGTTTCCGCACGAAACTAGTCTGCTTTTATACATGGGCTTGTAGTCAGGATCTCTCCCCTTCTTGTACTCTGCTTTGTCTACATCCACCCATTTGGATGGAATGCATTGGTGCCCTTCGTCAATGAGTTCTTGCGCTTGTTCTGGAGTCAATGCCACTACAGCTCCGAAATCTTCAAATTTGGACCATTCCTTTTGCCTTGTTTCCTGCAGGGCTTTTGCACTTCTGGAGGCGCAGACTCATAATGAATGCTCTTCAGAACCTTCTTACCTAGCTCTGCTTCATCTTCAGTCTAGGCAAGAAAACTACTCCACATGGCATGTGCATCTTCTCGATCTTGCTCTGGTTGCTCTCTGTCTCTCTGACGTGCTCTTTCGAAATGTTCTCGTAGAGAAGCTGGAAAGTCGTTTAAATGATCATACACATTAGGCCATGCATTCGAAGCACTCATGGATTCCCTGCGGGATGGTTGCAATGAGGTACCGCGTTCACTCTCCGGTTCGGCGACACGGGGCCTCACATTGCGGCCATGCTCATTTCCTGCGTCAGGCAATGGGCGTGAAACAGAACCAGTGGACCTACTCAACTCTTCAAGCGCGTCTTCACCTTCGGATTGGTCTTCATCAAAGAAATCTGGTCTGATCCCTACATCTAATTCATCATCTTCTGGAACAGGGGGTAGTGAACCAGCATCCGGAAATTGGGATTCGGTTTCTTGAGATTCGATGTGAATTGGGGATCCGGGTTCGCTCGGATCAGCACGTGCATCAAGAAAAGACTGTTGAACACCTTCCTTGACAACGTTTTCGGGGAAAACAGGTTCACCATGCAAAACTGCGTGCGCTAGTGCCTCAGTCGGAGTTGTGATCTTCACGTTCTGATTGGCAACCAACACTGGAACATTTCCACACAACAGCCACAAATTCCTTTCACCTTCATGGCCTATCACCCGGCTAGTGGGACTCCATGTGGTGCCTCCTTGTTGGTTGTCTCGGCGAAAAGTCACTAGATCGCCTACTGCGTACTCCCGAGGGAGACTGGAAGCATTGCGAGTAAGCGCACGGGACACTCTTGCCGAACAATCTAGGTGAACAAATGCCTTCTGGGCTTCCTGCCTGGCCATGTGCTGTAAGGCGAAAATGCTCTCTGGGTTGTGACGGGCTTCAATAGCCCCAAGCTCGGCAAACCGTGCTTCAGACAATGGACTTGGATCCGATCGGGGTCCTTTCCAAGTACCCATTGGCTAGGCGAGAAACCTCCGACTCTACTAGAGTTGTTCTTGGTAGCTACTACCTCGAGCAGTACCTGCTCAACCTGTTCTCTGCCAATAGCGCTTGTCTCTTTGCAAACCTTCCTGAAGAGTGATTTGACAATCCCTCCATGACGTTCTACACGACCAAGATTCTCCGGGCTTTCCAGAGGAGTGTGGAACACTTGGATTCCATGTTCATCCATATACTTCTTCATGACACCTCGGTTGTGCAGACCTCTGTCACATGCAATGTTCACAGGATGGCCACACCATGAGAACCAACGCTTCCTCAATGCTTTCAGACATTCGGCAGAAGACGGTTGACCGGCACCAAAACGAACAACTTCACACAGCTGAAAAGTAGTACCTAAACAAACCATGTTCAACACCTGGAACTTGTCACCTGAAATGTCGTGAACTTCAAACACATCAATTCCTACAGTGTGGTTGAACGAGTAGTTGTTAGGCAATGCCGTCTTGTGCGTGGCCTTCTTCTGGGATGTTGCTTCACAAGTTTCACATCTGTGGATCCTGACAGCATCGACGAATTCCTTTCGAACCTTTGCTGCACGAAGGAGATGGATCATCGTCTGCTTGGGAACGTGTCCAAATTGCCTATGCAATCTTCTCACACCAATCCTCACACGTGCAGGCAACTTGCGCCACATCCGGCGTCGTTCGACTTCATCTGCTGGCAGGCCTGGGATGTCTACTTCATCGACCAGTGTCTCCTCCGAGATCAGGTCTTCTACTGGGTTCACCTGTGCGCGATCTTCATCATCCCAGATGGCATCAAACTGCCGTTCATCATCCATGGCCTCTTCTTGCAGTTCACCAACAAATGCAACAGACATCTCATCATCCAAAGTTGTATCATTGGTCCATTCACCTAACCAATCAACAAACTGCCAAGACAAAACATCATTCATGGTCTGTCCTCGAAACCACGATTCGAAAAGCTCGGTCCACTTGGGATCATTGCAGGTGAATGCCAAGTCATGGTCGTTGATATGGGGAATCTGTGGAAACTCATGTTCCTCCCATCTCTGGGTAGTTGCAACGTCAATGTGCAAAAACCGGCTACCACTCATGTCACAATGGGATTCTACTTCACCCAAAATCTTGCCATGTCTCAAAGAGTCTGTGCTCTGTTCATACCCTATGGCAATGACGATGTTCTTGTAGTCTTGCAAAACATCATACCAAATCTTGGAGTCCTCCTCAGGATTGAGGTTCTCAGCTCCCACACCGACGTCAAAGACGTCTGCAACACCATCTGCTGCTTGAAGCTCCTGAAAAAGGCGGGGATGCGAAGTAATGACCAAGGTTGGAGGCTCTGAAACTGGGACATCCTTCAGACCAATGCTGGATTTGACCAATGCATCTTGATGGTTCAACCGATCAATGCCCTCCAAGACTGCCTTCCTATGCTTCTTACCCATGGTGGTTCTCTCATTGGGGTCAATTTGCAATGAAATGGGCAAGACTCCCGAACTACTCGGCTGTGCATTGCGATCTGGACAGACTTCCGAATCGGTTTCATTGCTATCATCCAAATTGGTCTCAACCTGTTCTCTCCTATCAAGGTCTCATGCCATGTGCGCTACTGGTTCATAGCTTGCAGACTCAGTGGACACGGGACTGGTTGGTGACTGTGGCTCAGGCCCTGGACGAACAGTTTGAGATGCAATGGACCCTTCTGGAGTTCTTGTGTCCTCGGAACCTGACGTCTTGGATGACTCCCTAAGTCTTCTTGGCTTTGGGGGAGTTGGCGGAACGGCCGAACGAACATCGGTCTTTGGGCCCGGGACCAAAACCACGCTCTGCTGCAGCGCCATATATACCTGCGGGCTTCGGTGGGTGAAACTGATCAAAGGCTCAGGGATGTTCGCCAAGGTCTGAACTGGCGCTCCACTCTGAAACTGATCCTGCCTCTCGCCGTCTGGCGTAGACAGTCTTCAACCACCCCCACTTCGACATCCAGCCGGCACGCGTGACTGCTGACGTGTAGATGCCAGCTCGGATCTTGACGTCGACGCGGATGCCATACCATTGTTGGTCCTTTGCAGCCAGATTGCGATTCACCAGCCACAAAACACGGTCACGGTTTCCCCAATCTGCAGCCGCGCCAGCGAGGACGTGAAGAAGCTCTGGATTCACCTGGTCAACCTTCGGTTCACCATCATTTGTCAAGAGCGTCCACAACTCATCTTCCAAGTCAACGCGTTGAGACTCATCATATTTCGTCTTGTTCAAAAGCCTCGGTGGCGGGCCAGGAGGTGGAGGATGATCAGGCGTATGAGGGCTCAGAGCCACTGGTGAGGTCGATGGGCTCTCTGGCTTCTTTGAAGCAGCTACGCTCTTCGGCCTAGCACGTGTGGGACTCCTTGATCTCGATCTGCCCCTTTTGGACTTTGGCCTAGATTCAGGCACATCTGAAGCTCTCCTCCTCCTTGTGCTGCGGCCTGCAAGGGTCGATACAACGTCGGTCAACTGTCGTAGAGCATGCAGGATTTCACGATTCTCATTCGAACTGCCAGCTGTGGGATCATCTGTGGGCATTTCTTCTTCTTCTTCTTCTTCTTCTTCTTCTTCTTCTTCTGGCTTCACGTCTTCATCAACAGACTCAACAACTCTGACGTCTTCATCCTCACTTTCATCGTCAAATTCCGGCACAGGACGTGCTGAAGCTGGAGCTGCTGTCGGCTTTGGGCCGGATTTCTGCTTGGGTTCCAATGTAGGAGGCATGGCCTTCGGCGGAAGTCTCCAAGGTGCACCCTTATCTGATGAAGTGGATGTTGCAACAGGAGCTGGAGGGACCGATCGAAAGCTCGTAGTCTGATTCGGGGTCAAGACAATTGGCGTTGAAGCGGACTCTGGATGGCCTGGACCACACAAACTGCACCTGCCTCCACAGCTCATCTGGCTCCATTCCGGACTGTGTTGATGGATGATCTTGCATGATATACCCTTGGCCTTCAAGTGTCTGTATATAATGATCGAACCACCAACGCTCCGATGCCTTCCGCTCTTGCACTTCAAGTCGATCACACCACGGTCCTCCTTGTCACAGAACCTGTCGACCCTTCGAAGAATCGTGTCCAGCGATCTCTTGCCTCGAAGTCCTTGAACGATCTCAGGATGGCGGCCTACGTGGCCTCTCAGGCTCACGTTCTGCTCCGGATCATAAAAATCCTTCGCGTTCACCTCCAGGATTGGATACGAACTGCTCCGAAAATTGATGCGATCCGGAAATCTCTCGCCACCAGTAATGATCAAGAACTCTCGCGGCTGCAAGCTCGATACCATAGTGTCCAATGCTTTGCTGACTTCGGTCGCAGAATTGGCCTGGAATCCCCTCTCGCCACTCCATCCACGTTCCATCGCGGGATACGCAGCACGAAAACGTCTGTGGCACTTGGGAATTACTTGCGGTTCTGAACCATGTTGCAAAGTCTGGACCAATAGCTGTGGGGTGACCGCCAACATCATGAGACCTGTGTGGACACATCGGTATACCTTGAGATGATTACCATCTACGCTGACAATACCATTCTTGAGATCCTTAACCAATCCTAAATGCGTTTGTGCATGGAGAGACAAAAGCAGCGGAGAACGACCCTTCGAAAGCTGGTGGGACTCAAGGACACCATGCACGGGTTTGCCTGTCTCGAAATGCAACGAAAATGGCAGTGTGCGGGATCCTTCTGTGGAGGTCCCATTTTCACCTAAACCGGCAAAATTCTTCGGTGTCGTGGTTGAGAAAGGGAAGTCATATCCTAGCTTCTTCAGTTTGGTCTCAACAACGTCTCCCCAGTGCTTCGAATGGCAGGTGGAATTACATCCCTCGTCGAGCACAACGTAGATGTTCCCGTCGTCTGGATTGTACATGTCCCTAGATTCGTGGAAGATGTGCACCAGACCGTCTGTCATGCGAGCAGGTTCCTCCCCGTGAAAACAAATGCCGAGCCCTGCAAAGGGATCCGAATCTTCGGTGTAGTCAACCATGGTGAACGAGTCTCCTTTGCTCTCTTCGATGGACTGGTGGAGAAGCTCGTGCAGCTTGATCGAAGTCACTGCCTCGGTTTCGGCTGCCAGCGCGACTTGGGCGGCAAATTCAGTCAAGATTTTCTCTAGCATCTCAGGGGCGTGTCCATCTTGGGGTTCCTCATCAACCAGACGTTCAATCATGGGGATTCTATATATCGAGCGGTGCATGGACGACTTTCTCAGAGGCTGCCTTCCTAGTCTTTTGGAGCTCCATCGGAGTCTCATCCAAAAACGAACAACAAAGCTTGCAAAATACACGGTGAACTGACCTGGAAGAACCTCGAAAATCGGTGTCTGAATGCGGGCAGTCTTCATATGCAAACTTCGGGGCTTGTTCTCTACGCTCAGTGGTGGAATTCCCACAGACAAGGCATGTCTTCTTGATGGTGTATGCTGTGCTCCCCTGTCTGGTGAACTCGGTACAATTCTTGCATTTCTCTTTCGGTGGATATGGTGGTTTCTTCCTTGAGGACCCTTTTGGGATAGGCTACAATGACGATGAAGAAGAAGCACCACCAACCTTCCTGAAAACTGAAGCTCCTTTGTATTCGAAATGCTGATCAACCCACGTGACGAAAGCCGAAGCGATTGGACTCTTGCCATTCTTGATGGCCCATCGGTGGTAATCAGGGTGTTCATGGAGAATCTGCCAAAATGTCTTCCCCCTGAATTGTCCAGCTAAGAACTTCCTATCGCTCCCCTCAGGCCTTACGAGGTCGTTGGGACTCACTGGTGCCTCCGGACGAACTCCTGAGCTGGCCTTCGCGGCCATGTGAGCAACGCTGTCTGTCGGAGACGTCGCGCCTAGGAAAATCCCTTCGTCCTCGGATGAATCACTCATGTGGGCAATGTGCGCAGCAGGTTTCGGGGCCGATCCAGTCTTCGGGGCATTGGGCATCTTACATTGGGGGTCTCCGGCCCAGTGACCTAAACCACCACAACGAAGACACTTGGATTTTGCCTTGATTTCGGCCAGTTTCTGTCGACGTTGGTCGATGCTAAGGTGAGACTTCATTATCTTACCTTTGCCTTTTCCTTTCCCCTTGGATTTATCCTTGCCTTTGCCTTTTGCCTTCCCGAAAGCGACGAAAGCGGCAAGTTGCAATTGGATGGCATCACCTGAGGAACGTTCTTCAGCATCTTCGCAACCAACTACTGCATTCAAGGCGATTGCTTCATATTCATCAACATCATCATGATACTCAAATTCCTCGTATTCGGTATGGCTAGCATGTTCATGTCCTTCAGGCTCTTCAATTCCTCCTAGCATGCCTACGAAAGAATCTTCTTCATGAAGATGCTCTTGTAAGTCCTCATCTCTCCATTCGAAATTGTCTTCCCAATCGGGATAGATGGCATTGTACCCAGCACGAGGGAATTGGCTACCTTTACCTTTACCTTGGTACCCCTTTTGGTACCCCTTGCCCTTGCCTACTTGAGGCTGAATCCCCCGTCCTGTCCAGGATCGGGACCCTTCACGAAGATGGATTCCACTATAGTTGTCAACCAGGACTCGTGCAGTACCTTCGAAGTCATCGTTCTTGCGGCAAGCCTTCACCACAAGGATCTCCTGCCTGGAAATACCTGACATCTCCAACAATAGCTCTGTGCGGAAAGCTTCTGAGATCATCATTGTGGGGTCAAGCTCAACCAACAAGGTCCACCAGCGTCGTCGACGCTGAGTGTACGACAACATGCTTTCTGTAGGCTGTCTCGACAGTGGTCCTCCATGCTTCTGTCCTGCGCGAAAAAGCTCCTTACTCTCCTCCAAGGCTCGAGGAAACACATGGTTACGTATCACCTCGATGAGACGCTCCAGTCCCCCTGGACGTGCAAGTGTCTCTAGACCTAAGTCTCTGGCAAGCCAAAACGCATCACCTCTCAAACCTTCTACGATCTTGTTCACTAGGACACTGCGATCGATGATACTCGACTTGTCTGACTTAACGGACGAAGCCTTCGGTGATGTTGCATCAACCTTCGACTTGGGAGTACCGGCAGTCTCACGCGGCTCGGGCTCAAACTCCTCGGGATAGTGTCCTGGCGAAGGGAATGCGAATCCTTCATCTGACTCTGGTGGCCAAGGCTCCCCTTCATCGGCAGGTCCAGTCACGGGATCCTGCTTCTTTGCTGGTTGCATTTGGGCTTGGTCGTATAGCTTGATGCGGAGTTCGGTGCGGAATTTCCAGTCATGAAATGATGCAGGATCTCCCCAATAGATGTAAGACCCACTCTTAGTTTCCAGGGGGTTGCCTATTCTATCACCAGTGCTACCCGAATGGAACTTGAGTCCAGCAATGGACATGTTCGACGATTCCGACGGAGATTGCTCGGGCGAGCAATCTATTCCGGGCTCTGTCCCCAACGGGATCAGAGGAGGCAAGCGAAAGCACGCAAGGAATGCAGGCTCAGGCTTGATATTCTACGATTCCAATGACCTGGATCAGTACGTGCCGGAGTCAGGCCGTCACCTGCTCCGCTACCAATGTCGGTAGCAACCGGAATCGTACTGTCCACACGCTCTTTTCACTGCGAAAGCGAGCACGGTATAGCTCAAGGGCCCTAGGAGCCAAACGGCGGCAGACACAACATAGTGTGACAACCTGGCTCAACAGAATGAGATCCTACCACAAATTCACAATTGTGGAGGTTATAGGGTGAGACGAATCATAAACCAACTATATAATAAAGAGGAAACAGCCACTGACTTATGATAGATTTAGACTGGAGACAAGAAGGCAACACATCAGTTAAGTGACAACATGCCGTTACAACTGCTTATCACGTTTATCAATTTGCCTGGAATTCTGCAACATGTTGCAACTATTTCTTTTGTTGCCGCCTTGGAATTCTGGGTCAAGAAGGCGAAACCAGTATCCTACAGAGCCAATGTTGCCAAAGGAATTTGGATGATCTTGCATGGATGGTGCATCCGTGGCTTGTCCTTCACAGATTCTGAAGATCAATCCCAAGTGTCTTCCACGCACTCTCCACAAATTCGCCCCAGTTCAGGCGTGGCTGAGACCACACCCAGTTGCTCGAAGTTCACCGCCACGTGCCTCGCGGACGACTGCAGAGTCAAGAGGTGAATGGCTGTGAAGGGCCGGTGAAGAGAGACACCCAAGGGGGAGTCGAAGTGGGAAGTCTTACCAAGTTAGTCAAATGACTCACAAAGTGATTACTAAGAGATCACCAAAGTTGCCAAATCACCCTTGGTAAACGAAAGTCTTAGTCTTAGTAAGTGCAAAGTGCTGCCAAAAAAGATAAAAAAGGCTTCGGTTTGTAATCACTTGGCCTGTGTCCGCCTGTGTCTGTGTCAGCTTGCTGTCTGGGGTGGACAGTGGGACCGTTGTGCTAAGACTTAGCTGAGTCTTGAGGTCGGCATGGTGCAAAAAATCCCTGGCGAATGATGTGACCACCTCACTCGTTATGTCGCCCCTGAAAAATGGAAACACGGACTCCGGAGCCAAAATGGAGTTCCATAGAGTAGCGACGTGCTTGGGTTCGTCAGAAGGTAGGTCTAATTCTGGTCATCCAAACAAAATGCCCATGGTCCTGGTCTATCACCTGCGCTGCCAAACTATCCACCAACGACTTCTTTTGTACCAACGACTCCTTTTGAAGAATTCTTATGTGTGCCACCCCACCTCGAAGGCTTTTTTGGACCAATTCGGCACCCGGCCCTTCAACCGCGTCCCAGCGACGGAGAGCAGCTGCTGCACACCAAGCGCCCGCAGCGTCGGCAGTGGTGGCGACGCCGGAAGAGGCCGAAGGCACGGCCGCAGCCGGGGACCATGCAGGAGGTGAACATGAAGCTGGGCGCCCAGTGGTCCACCTGGCACTGTCAAAGGGGTCAACCAGGCCGAAAACAAAGATAGATATCTATAATTCATATCTAATTCATTTGGTATCTTGAAGAAAGTTCCAGTCCATGTGGCATATCCTGACTGCCAAGTCATTTGTAACTTGTGGTCCCTACAACGGCACCAGAAAGTTTCGAACCAATCGACCGGGGCCCCTTGTTCACACCACATGTTCTTGGCACTTGACTCACCATACCATCCACGCCGTCACCCCACCGCGGCCCTACTGACCCGCAGGTCCGGCCTCTACGAAGTCACAGGCCAACCCCGTCTTGGGCGGCTGCACTTTGGCCGCCAAACCCCAGCGGGGAGGATCAGCCGGCCCCACCACACGAACGTGCTCCGCAGAGCCTCAGCGGTCGTGCGGTGTCTGTTCGTCGGTACAGCGGGGAAGCTTTTGGTTTCAGGAAAGCCTACCGTAGAATCTGAAGCACATAACTAAATCCCATGGGCGATGGATTTTGTCAGTAAGGAAACCTTTCTTATCCTTCTTGGAGGTCATGAATGCCTTTCAGTGTGGTGGAGATTGGACAATTTTGAGCCTCCAGGATTCCAAGCTGAAGGAAAATGGGGGTGCACGGAGAGATGTGACCCACCCAGTGAGAAACGCTTCGATTTGGATTGAGACTCCCTCAAGCAGCAGTAGACATCAGATGATCTGAAGATCTCATCCCACGCTCAGTTGGTGCCATGGGACGACTCTGGGTTCAAGCCTATAGGGATGTCCGGGCTTTGACGTGTGCCCCATGCGGTCAGCAAACCAAAAGAAATGGCTTAGTTCCGTATAGTTCGCTTGGCCAACGCACAGGAGTTCCAGGAAATGGCATAACCAAAGTTGAACCCGGGATTGCTGAGCACGACTGCTGTTCCCTATGCTGAACCAGGCAATGTATAACCGCTGCTCAATTTCTTACTTCGATCTTTAGGCTCAGCCTGGCATTTCAACCCGCCCATCTGTAAGCCAATAATACTACCGTACCTATAATAGATCTATAACGATTGTATAACGTAGTCTAATGTAGCCTAGTATTATCCCTTTTGGTCCTCTCGTTCTGGTTCTATCTGACTGTCTCTGAATCACCACCAACGCATCCCTCGACTTGCTCTGGCCGAGCGTCACTCGTAGAGCGGCGGCGCCGAGGCCACCAGCCCGTCGTTTGGCGCTCGCTGCGCGTCGTCCGTGGCGCTACTGGGCGCCTGAGCGCGCCGGAGCGGCGGCACGGTGGATCTGGGTGGATGGAAGAATGTCAAAGGGATTCCCTAGCAAAGGAGCCCAGTCATTAAAGTGAAGATTAACTGATTAAACAATCTCAACTAAATGCTATGTGGAGTCTGGTGATTCCAAACATGCCCTCCCTTCAAGAAGGTCCCTTCACCTCCCGGTAGTCCCGGAAGTGTCCGCTTCTTCGCGCCTCCGGGAGCTGCTTCCGGGCGTTGTGCTCAGCATCAGCTCGCCTGACAAAGGTGCTCTCCACTTCGTTGACTCCCGGGTTCGGGATGGTTCACTTGGCATCTTGCTATATAAGGACCCCCAAATAGATAGAAGTTAGTGTTGGAAACCGTGCCACGATCAATTTGGTGACCACTATGTACTTTCACTGGTGCCATCTGGTATATTGAGGTCAAATGAACAATGTGACGAATGTCTCATTTGCCAGTCAAGTGGAGCGCCATCGGTTGGATCAGGCCATCTTTGACCATGTCCAGTGTTCCCCCTAATTAGTTCGTCACCATGTGTGGTGCGCGCTCCAAAAGCGAACCCCCCCACCATCTTCACCTGATCTTCCTCGCCCTCTCCGCCTTCGTTCCCAGTCTGCTTGGACCTCCGGAGCGACGCGGCCACCCTCGATGGCCGCGCGGATCAAGTCCAGCACCACTCCTGAGCCCGCCGACACCGGCGAGGACGGCACGGCGGCTCAGTACGCGTGTGGGATGATTGTAAATGCACAGCACTCTTTGGAGGATGGCATTTCTGAGTTCCAAGGTGAAAAACACTTCACCAACACTGGTGCTCAGCACTGAATTCACCACTTGAACCCAATCATGATCTAGATACAAAACAATTGCACCCGCATGTTAAATCATTTTATGCTACCAGCCCCCCTTGACCAGCACGACCCAAAAGCATCCAGTCCCGGCGTCGGTTCACGCGGAGAGTGCCATCCAATTCCTGCCCTGTGACTGGGCTGGTCCGAAGGTGTGCAGCGAGCCGCTGCCCACCGCAGGATTCACCATCCTCACTGCTTGAGGATAGCTGTCCTGCAACAAAAGCAAGCTGAACGTCATTAAGTTGATGTTATTTCAGGGTAGTTTGGCCTCAACAAATGGATCAGGTGACTTGGCTTGAAAGTGCCTAAGTGCGCCCTCAAAGGTGTTGGGTCCAGCAACTTCAACCCCCTTGGAGGAACCGGAAGACAGGTACTGTTGAGAAGGCTTCTGAATCTAAATGCACAGTTTTGAGCGTGTCTTCCAAATCGCGTTGGTGGCTCATTTCCGGTCGCCTTCCTGGTCCTATCCAAACAGTCGATCTGTTTGTATACGACGCAATAGACCTTTCACTTATCATGGGGGGGCGGTGCCCGCACAGAATCTTCTGCATCACCCAGAATTTCTCAGACTTCGCAAAAGCACAGCAATAGGCAAGCGGTGCAGATTCAAGTGCTACAGCCTGGAACTCAAATGTCAAGAAGGATCAGAACTCCCTGCTCTTCACTGCTCCCTCCCGAGAAAAATGTCACATGCAAAAGACCCTCTCCTTGAAGTTGATTGGCCCAGTGCTGTTCAATGCTCTGACGCTCGTAGGTGTAGCCGTCAGTGGCCAAGACTGGATCCGCCATCAACTCCTTGGTGATGGGGCACTGGAGCGCTTGCCTCAGCTGTAAAGAATTGCAAGAGAAGATTGGTCCCTTTCCTCCCCCACCCTCTCTTCCCCAAGTTTTGAGTTTGAAAAATGCGCTTCATATACGCTTCATTTCAATTGTTTTCATGCTTTCAGTGGCTGGCTAGACCATATGGCTGTGTGAAGCGTCTCAAAAATCAGCATGATTTCAGCTAGACCAGCTGCATGTCGCTGTCCTGCCGCGTCAAATTGGAATCGCTCCTGCGCCACGCGGGGCCTCACAGGCTCTTAAAACGTTACATGCGTCCGGTCCTGCAGAGGCAGAAGCCCAAAACCCCTCACAGCGTTTTTCAACGGCCATGTTTGAGGGGATATCAGCTTTTCTTCACTCTACTACTTCGACCAGGATCTGGGATGATCTGGGCGGACGTCTCTCGAGACCCAAATAGAGGTCTTGAGACCTCACAAAACCGATCCGTGGGATGGACACGTCGATGGGCCATCCGGTGCTGCAGCTAGTCGGTTCCTTGAAAGACCAACTTCTATGTGAAGTGCAAGTATACAGTATGTATATTGTACCTAGAACCTGGTTGACCCCTGTTTTGGAGCAAAAACGTGGTCTTTTCCTATCAAAACAGGGGTCAATTGGGTTCCAGGTGTATACAGTAACTTGAGTGTAAGAGTGATCATCAACTGAATCTTGCCCTTGCTGACCTCCGGAAGTACATTAACCTCTTCTAGCTTGAACACACTGCGCAGACTTTCAACTTCCTAGTCAGACCGTGCTTTAGAAAATGAATCGCTCACCATCCCCTGCCTGCATCCAAACGCATGACGAAGGGATACGCGGTCAGTTCATTCATGGCCTCCCCTTGCAAGCCTTCGTTGGGAAAGAGCTCCTGGCGGAATAAGAAGCATAGGCTAGGGGGTGACACACATGTGATGTCACTTGCTACTCCGCACCACCATCGTCACGTCGCAATGATTGATTGAGCAAGCCGGCTGGCCGATGTGAGCCAAACTCTGAGAAAGCGCAAAGGATCAACATGGATAAACATGATAAAACCATTGATTGATTTAGCTTCTTGTTGCTAGTAGTAAGGCCCTTGCTCCTAGTAGCGATGCCCTTGTTCCTAGTAGCGATGCACTTGTTCCTACTAATCCATCAACAAAACTGGTTCAATCTCTGGTGCCCCGCATGGTTATAGACGTATTTCTTGAAGAACATGATCGGCTTCAGCTGCCCTGCAATTCTTGAATAGTTTGCAGACTCTTGTGACCTTTGTATCAAAGCACCCCCCTGTCATCCCAATTTCCCACATGGTGACCTCAAGAAAGGATGCCAGTGCGGAGAGCGTGGGGAACTTCGCCACGTAGCTCTGCTGCAGCCAGGGCCGCGGACGGCAGTCGAAGAGGTAAACGTCTTCCGCCCGGCCGTCGACCACGATGAGAACGCTCTCCTGCTCAAGCGGCAAATCTGCCGAGACGGCAACTATGCTCGTAGGACAACTTCGATACCTTTGCAGGACCCACTTCTCACAAACTTCCGAGACAGGACCTGTTTGATTTTTTTGAGCCGAACTGAACGGAAATAACGGAATAACATGTCCCATGGAGTCACAAAGGGGTGCCTAACTTGAAGGTTAGGGGTGCCCAACTACTCCACTCACTTATAGGGACCAAACACCACCCCGACATGTGACCCCTGGTCTTTGTGATTCCCTTTGTGTCTCCGTATCGGTTCCTCGGGCGGCTTGGCCAGCAGGGCGGCCACCGGTCCGGACGCGGCCAAGCGCGACAGCTCCAGGAGGATCCACTGGACCTCTCCGAGCAGCGTGGCGCCACAGTCCGGGCGGCTCGGTGGTAGCAGCGTCCATGTGGGGTGAACAGATAGGGTCACTGTAGTGACCCATGTTGCTGTTTGCAGAACAGGATGTTCGTTAAGACCTCTCGTCTTGGTTCACACGATATCGGGGATAATAAAAGATTGGACATCTTGAAATGGCTCTTGTGTAAAGATGTGTAAAGGCATGACCCCTCTATGAATATCTATGATGGCATCGCTAATGGCATCATTCCTTGGCGCTCGCCTCTACCAGCTTCTCCAACACTGGGATATACTGGGAGAAGCTAAGCCCTGATGATGCTAACTCCCACCAAATAGACTCATGGTCTTTGGCCACAGCCACAAGTGGCTCCAAACAAAAAACACACATTCTTCTCAATCTTTCTATCGCACACGCACCCCAACACCCACCTTTTGAACTCCACTTGGAGTCGATCTCCCACCACGATGTCCAACCTCCGAGCTTCCTCCCACCGCGTCCTTCGACCAAGCCCAGGTGCACTGGCGAGGCTCCCGGAGAGCGATGTCACAGGTCTCAAGGTCTCCAAGTTCTCGTGCCGCAGAAGCTCCGGCACCGTCCTCGAGGTCCAACAGCTTGGGCAGCTGGCGGCGGCCTGGAGGGCCAACAGCAGGTGGACGGTGTTTCAGGCATCTCGCTGAAGGAAGGAGCATCGTTCGCAGTTGAGATGTATCATATGATCATTATCAATCACCCCTTCCGCTGTGGACAGCAACCGGAAAACCACGAGGAAGCCCAAAACTCCGATCTTCACGACACATCAGCGGCATTATCAAAAAAACACACAGAGCGCAAGCACCCCCCACCGTGCCAAGCCCTGCCTTTTCAGCGCACTCATCGAGCAGCTCGCTAAAGCCAGGGGAGCGGAGCTGCTCGGGCTGCTGTAGCGCGGCCAGGAGGGCTGGTGCCACCTGCGATGAGGTGGCGGGATGTGGCAGCATAGTCTTAGAGTAGGAGGTTTCCACCTGGTAAGCTTGGGGGGGAGCAAAGAACTCTGATGAGAATGGCAAGCAAAAGGGCCATTCCTGTATCAATCGCTTTGGCAACGACTTCAAAGCTGTAAAAAGTGCCTTTTTTGTGGTTTCTTTGGCATCATTGGCTTGTTCGAACCGAAGGGAAAAGCTACTCACATGATCTCACATATTAAATCCCAATGCCTTCTGTCGTGCTTTCACATTGAGGTGCTCCCCCTCTGTGGTTCCAAAAGGGGACACCCCCAGTCCAGCAGGGATCATCAACAGGTCAAGAAATCTCCCTTGAAGCAAATACCTTCCAAGAACTCACACAGAAACTGGTGGACCCCGGCAAAGGACTCATGGAAAATTCTCTGCCATACCCTTTCTGTTGTTGTATTTTTTGTGTGGGGGGTCGGGAAAAGGTAAGTATATATATATGTAGAATCAACCACGATCCAAAGCGCAGGGTTAGCCGCGCAGTGCTTCCATTCCAATCATAACGATCTATGACATCGTCTGATCATGTCTGATCTATGTGTCCCTCGAGTCAGTGTGTATATCAATTGGGGTTTAGTGTTCATGCAAATTCGTAGACTCACAGACTAGATCGGAGTCACCAAAGAAACAATTAACATCAAACAACTATGTTGAAAGCTTGTGGCATCACGTGCCGTGCCATCTATCTGGGTTAAATCACTAGACACCCCCGACCCGCCACACCTTCAGACCAATCGCTGCTGCCGGCGTAGCACTGGACTCGCCTCCGTGCCACGGTCTGCCACCGGGGATGTTGGGTAAGAGGTTGCAGTGTCCAGCAACAGGACCCATTCGACCCTTTTGGGTATAACACTCGCTCATATTACAAAGCGGACAACAAGATACAAACGCAACGCCTCCACCCAGCCTGGCTCCTCTTCGACCCTCTTCCCCGTGGCCAGCAGTGAAGCCTGGCAGGCCACAAGGCGCTGGGGCGCCACAGATGGCCCACCGCACATGGCGAGGCTGGCGCCGCGGAGGCTCTCGCCGAACCCCCACCGTCTGCGCGCCCCGCCTGGTGACAAAGAAAGGCCACGGCAAAAACAAGGACTCTTGGAGTTTGACAATGGATGAGGTGTTGACCTACCCCATGGTACAGGATAAATTACACATGTTGTGGATAGAAAATATTGGACTACATAGTTTTATGTGGGAAGCATCCTCCAACTATTCAACTGCCACCATCCTTCATTCTCTCATGCACGGTTGATCTGAAGACATGGGCAAATTATGACAACTTAACATCATGCTTTTAAAGCTGGTCAAAAACCCAAAGAGCTCGCACTCTCCTCATTTCTGCTGCGCAACCCCACCACTCTTCACAGGTGAGACGCCTCTCATCAGATCTGATCTGCAGACTGCCTGGCCGGAGGTCTTCTCATCGAACAAGTGCTGAGTTTGGGGTGTTTAGCTTCGCCTGTCTGCCCAAAATGACCGTCAATGATGTCCGAGATTTCTGAATCCTGACCCAACTGGGCAGGTCTCAACGGTCCCGTCGCATCTGACGCACCTTTTTTGGCCCATCGAAAGGCGGACCCATTGGGCCGAGTCTCGAAGAAAGCATCCAACCTTCTCATCTCCCATCCAGTTCTAGCAACGATACTGCCATTTTTTGCACATGCTCTGCACCAGTTGTCTCTACCCCCTTTGAGTTGGACCCTGAACGAGGATCAACACTAGGATCAACATCATGCTGAACATTGTTGAAGCACAAGAACTTCTATTTTCAGTTGTGCATGGGGAAGCTTGGACAAAAGGTTGGTGCTATGGCATGCTATTGCATATGCTCAGGTCACATCTGGCCCACAACAGCGATTTAGCGTACAGATGCGTACAGTAATATCTCTCTCAATCATGGGCGCAACAAAACGTTCACCAGCCTGGCTCAGCTAGGAAACAGGAACAAACATTCCAACAGGCCATGACCTGAGTTGCCTGGGAGCTGCCCGAGCACATTGGCACGGCCACATCTGTAGTACAGTAGGAGGCACCGATCGCAGGTGTTGCACTGCAGGCAACCAACGCTCTCGCTACTGACCGATGTGACCGGCATGGTGCTGGCCTCCCCAGGCCCTAAAATGTTCTAAGGAATGCGGATCTCTAAAGGTGTGGGTTGAGCCTGATCCTGCTGTGAAGCTCCAGGGGAAGTCTCGAACATGCACAATTTGTCTGCCCAGCGTATTGCTCATACGTGTTCATGCTACCCCCTGGCCAATCACCACCTGCCTCGAACTAGCAGGTCATTCCCACATGCTATGCCATTTGGTCGAGGCTCGAAGAAAGCATCCAACCTTCTCATCTCCCATCCAGTTCTAGCAATGATACTGCCATTTTGTGCGCATGCTCTGCACCAGTTGTCTCTACCCCCTTTGAGTTGGACCCTGAACGAGGATCAACACTAGGATCAACATCATGCTGAACATTGTTGAAGCACAAGAACTTCTACTTTCGGTTGTGCATGGGGAAGCTTGGAGAAAAGGTTGGTGCTACGGCATGCTATTGCATAATATGCTCAGGTCACATCTGGCCCACAACAGCGATTTAGCGTACAGATACGTACAGTAATATCTCTCTCAATCATGGGCGCAACAAAACGTTCACCAGCCTGGCTCAGCTAGGAAACAGGAACAAACATTCCAACTGGCCATGACCTGAGTTGCCTGGGAGCTGCCCGAGCACAGTGGCACGGCCACATCTGTAGTACAGTAGGAGGCACCGATCGCAGGTGTTGCACTGCAGGCAACCAACGCTCTCACTACTGACCGATGTGACCGGCATGGTGCTGGCCTCCCCAGGCCCTAAAATGTTCTAAGGAA